AACTTATAAATCGTGAATATTTTACTATTAAAATTCACGACTAAAAAAACATTTGATCTTTTAACTATATTGTTAAATAAATTTAAAAATGTCTCAACATAGTTTTAAAACTACTCTATTCTAATATCAATTGCAAGTTACAGAATTGAATTTGCTTTTCTAGAACAGAAGTTAGAACGTTTTAAAGATACGTGATTTTTATGATAAATTACTATGACGAATTTTTTATAATAAAATGATCGACAAAAATTGAAAAATCTTAGTGTAAATTACATATAGCAACACCCCATGCGACCACCAAGTGTTTTCATGGAGCTGTACTGATTGGCTAACTCCGCATTTCACGCAATAAATTTTCATATCGTTAGATCACTTTCAAATCACATTGAGGGCATTGCCTTTAAACTATAATTTCCAGAGCAGAACGGAGGAATTTAAGCCAGACGAGTGTTACCTGTAGTGTTTTGAGCCGACTAAACCAGCCAATATAATATAGTCGGTTGGCTAATGCGGCTAAATACCACATGATTCTATGTCTTTATTTTGCATGATAAACGAAGAGAAAATCAATGAGCATTAAAACACGAGCAAGGTCGAGAAAATTTAATGAAAAAGTTCCATTCCGTAATGTAAACTGTTACGATTAAAACCATGTGGCTTGAAACACTACAATAGTTTTATAAAAATTTGATGTAACGTAACACGATCAGAAAATTCAAAAATGTAAAGTCGTTCTTTTCTCAAAATTGGCATAATAAACCACCTTCTGTGCTCTAACAAAAAGTTTCTTTGAGTAATTTACTATATATATCACTAAAAACAAACTCTCACTCTAACTCTAATGTAAGTACTAACCAAAACATAACAGATAACTGGGTTTTGAAGAATTTATAACTTGTTTAGATCAATAATATCCTTATGTGTACAGGCGGAAATTTCGTTTTCCGCTAACACCCAATGGATCTCATTATTAGATATGAAGCATCCAATAACTATATATCAAAAAGATCCAAGTAATCAACATTGGTCACTTACACGCACATGATAATAATTTACAAGCTCTTATCATAATTACAGTATTCCAACTGTACATTTTCGCTCATAGTTTGAGATTGCTCAAAATCAAGTAATCCAAAAAGGATCGTGAAAAATACTGACGTTTTGTTTTTTATATCGTTATTACTTGAGAAACTCTTATATAGAAATTCAATTCAGACATATCTTACCGTATTTAGTAAATTCCGTGATTAGCTTGGAATATCCCGACTGTTTCAATAACGAGGTTTTAACAAGCATTAATCCTGTAACTCGATTGAAAATTGTCTTGATAATCTTGATTCTTCGATATAACAAATACGAAACATAACATTAATAAATTAGTTTTGCCGCGTATATGCCATTATTCAACGCCAAATTTCAACACCGTTAAATATTTACTTAAATATTTACTTCTCTCACAACGATTTGCCTATGAAAATATTGGATGATATCAAAAATACATCAAAATAATAATCGTGATCCATGATAATGATGTAATCAAGGCGTAAAAATCCTTATTTAGCAGCAAAGCCACTAATATCTGTTATAGTTATTGTAAATTTATGGTCTCCTTCTTACACTTTGGACTTTTTTTTTAAAAAAAAAAACAAAAAAAAAAAAGACAATTGAAAAATGTCTGCTGAAACAAATCCATTCCTTTCCGATGACAAGAATTCAGCAACAGGTATTTTTATCGATTAAACATTCGTCACAACCCTTAAGCTAGTTCAATAATATCTCTTAAATAATTCAAACACTTATATTGGTATCGTATCGCAGTTGAAGTCACTAGGGATAATAAAGATAATACCGAAGCATTATATAGTGCTGGTGCTGTAAATCCCGGAATTGAAACATCCGATCCAGAGAAATTAAGAATCACTCACAAAGAGAAAAAACATATACCAAGCGGAAAAAGATTTTGTTTTAGATTTGTAACATTGTTGGCCAGTCTTGGTGCTGAGGCTACTAACATCAGTGCACCTATTGTATGTATTTGTTTATCTAGTTAATGAGTTTGTCTTGGTTATACTCGCATGGTAAATTATTTTATGCCGCCCGGTCTAAATTAAATAGTAAATTGACTGCCTGACTAACCTCTAGCTATAATGCATATCCTTTAACTCCGATGTGCGTCATCAATTTACTATTTGGTTAGACAGGGTTGCAATAAAAATTTTTACCACCGCGGATGGATTATTTTTCTCTTATTTTTTTTTCATATTAATTGTTAACAGTTAATAAAGTGATTAACAATTTACGTTTCACGTGACAGGTTTCCCACCAACAAACACCTGAAGGCGCAAATCAATTAGCAATCATATTTTTGCATATCGTATCCTCAGTATCGATTATTGTTTCAATATATTTCATTTTGCTTTATTGTTGTCGTAGATTCGGCAATGCGAAAAAAATATCCAGAATTTTATTACATTTAATTGATCTGGTATTTGCAATATCTTTTGGCGTTTTAATGGTTTTCATGATTGGGAATTTCAGATGTAAAATTGGAGATTTGAACGGATGGTAAGTAAATTATTGTATTCTTTCTAAAAGTTGATAATTTTAGTAATTTTTTTTTCTTTCCTTTTGAAATTAGGTGTGATTTATACAACACCAGCATTTTTTTCACAGTGCTTTGTTGCTTCTTGTACACTGTATCGTTCATTTGGGATATTTGTGGTACCTTTAGTTCGAAAAGAAAATATTAATGTTCAATTTTTAAACAAAATATTTTATTTTAAAATTTATAATATGAGAATATTTTGTTATATAGTACAGTATCATGTTATATACAGTATTAACCTTTTTATTATTATATTTGTATAATAACTATGGGGCATTTTAATCGAAGATAGTGGGCTTTATTTCTTTTTTTTTTTATTAGACTTATTCTGAAAAAAAGAGAAATTATGAATTTGTTTTGTATTTAGTTATATTGTTATGTATAGTCTCTTTTTAAAGTTTCGTTTTCTACCAAGTTTTGATGAAGAAATATAACATATCTTTTACATTTAAAATTGAACAGCTCTTGGGAAAAGTATCATAATTTTGATATAGACGTGTCAACACACCGAGTTTTCGTTTGAATGCCTGTTCGGTATGTTTGGTGTATTTAATTTGCCAACTAATTGACAACAAAAAAGGTTTCTGAATATAAGATAGATTTTTATAATAAATATATTAAACTAAGATGTAGCATATCAAATGATTTAGTATCAAAGTGTAGTGTTATATGTAATTCAATTTTTGTTGTTCATTTTATTATAAAAAATTTATCAAAAATTTTTAGTTAAATTTTTTCAAATTTTATATGAATTAATTTATTTGTAGCCATAGGTTATATATAGCTGTAACTAAGATCAAGTATAATATGATTATCAAAATAATTGTTTTTATAAAATAAAACTCACGATTAAGATTAGGGTTAGGGTGAGGCTTGAGATTTTATCTAGGCATTAGTATATGCAAAATTTAGTAAGAAATTTTTTTTTGTTAGAGTATAGAAGATGGTTTCATAATCGAAATTTTGAGTTATTAATAATTTCTTTAAAAAAACTAGTATTTGTTTTGATTTCATATTACATCTGATCCTAAAATTTAATTGGTTTTATTGGATAACTACATGTAGTTGTGGCTATATATATATTTTTCTATTTTATATATTTTATATATATACAAAACTAAAAATAATTTTTATTTTTATAAAAGTTTAAATTTTTACAAGTAAATTTCAAAAACTATAATAATGAAAGTTATAATATTTTAAAAGTTTTATTAAATTATTTAAGTTGTATTTTTAAAACTTAATTAAACAAGTTTGTTTTGAAATACTAATAAAATTTTTGTAAAAATTTTTTTATAAAATTAGCTATTTTTAGTTTGAATATTTATAACTATAACCAGTAATGATCATCATTAGTGTATAATTAGTCAATAAATTTGCAGGATTAGATATAATATGCAAATTATTTTTTTTAAAAAACATATTAATTTCTTAAGAATTTACTTATGAAACCATTTTCAATATTTTAACAAAAAAAATTTCTTGCTAAAATTTGTATATATATAACACTTTATTAAAATTCTAGGTCTCATCTTAACCTAAAGTAAATGAAATAAAATTTTTTTATTGTTTTATCATAATTAGCTAATTATATAGTAGTGATAATTATCGTTAGTTATTTAAAGTTAAATTCTTTTAGTTTATATATAACTTTAAATTTTTTTTATAATATAAAAACAAATATTATATCAAAAAAAAATAAAAAAAAATATTCACTTTATAAATTATTTTAACCAAAATTGTAGCTAAAAAATAATAATAAAAACTTCAAATTTTGTATAAAAAACAGTATAAAGTTATTAAGAAAAAAGTAAGAAGATAAAGAAATATATATATTATATTAGAAGAGTAAAGAAATAAAAAACAGTAGTCAGAGTAATAAAAAATATCAGATTAAAAAACTATATTGAATATTTTTTTCTAGAAAATTTGAGGATTTAAATTTATTCTGTATTGCAAATTAATCTATATAACACAAACATATAAAAGATAATATAAACAAATTCTTGTGTTTTGACTAATAAGATATATTATATGCTAACTAATAGAAAAGAACTATACGAGGTTCAAACTGTAAAGAATATAGGCAAATAAGAGAAAATACAGAGAATTTAGAAAAAAAAATAAGATTACTTTGTGAAGTAGTATAAATAAAGCAAAAAATAGAATAATATATAAAGATAATAATAAAAAGATATATTATTTAGAACTAAAAGAAAATTAGATATCAAAGCCAGAAAAAATAACTAAACTTAAATCTTTGCTCAAAGAAGAAAAACCTTAAAAACTAGTAAAAATTATAAAAAAAATAGAAGAAAACTATATGCAAATAGATAAATATATAACAAAAATCATAGAATTAGAAACTAAGATAATTATAGTAACTTTTTTTTTTTCAATAAGCTGTCTGCAGATTTTTTATTAAATATGATTTTTAAGTTATATTTGTTAGTAAGAATACAATTAGCTATATATACAACTTTAGTCATTATCTATTTAAAGATTCTACTATATAGATTACCTACTAATTGTCTTTTTTTTGTTATTAATATAGCTTATATTGCTGAAGAAATTTTATTAGAATTGCATATGGGATATATATTAATAATCTCTACTGTTTGTAATTATATGAAGAGTATATAATAAGCCATATGTACAATTTTAGTCATTATCTATTTTAAGTAGTTTACTATTCAGATGATTAGACTACTCAATTGGTTCTACACTATATTGTCATATCTGTAATCCATCTGTAAGTTGCCTATTTAAACATTCTGTTTATTAATCCATACAGATCCAACCTAATATCACTGCAATACCTAACCACTTAAGCTAGCTAGCTCATTACAAATTCATTTATTCAGAATGGCTTAGGTCTTCCTAGAATATATTGTACCTATTACATTGTAGATATTACAGAGCCAGTTAACCTTGAAGCATATCTACTAAAGTAGTTCGTATCTATTTTATGAATTCATCTAGTTTAGACCCTTATAGATATTTGTACAACTTTAGTTCCTACTATAGCTCTCTACTAGTTTTCTATATTCTATCTTCTCAGATATTTTACGAAGCAGATCTTCCTAATTCAGTTAGCTACTAAGCCAAGTTAGTATTACTGATCTTCCTTATAGAACAGATTTATGCATACTTAACTTGATCTGCATCTTTTGACAATAGTTTTTTTTCTGAATCAAATGTTAGCTGATATAACTATCAAAAGCTATACTATTTTATTAACTCAGGATTTTTACTATACAGATCCTCTGCTCGTAAATCCTATTAAGATTTATTCATATAATATTATATTTTTTCAAACATCTCATTATATTTCTAATATTTAAATGATATTGATGCAATATGATTTATAAGGTTACAACTCCAGAAACAAACATAGTTTACTGTAAGTTAGATACAAAGGTCTGAATAATTATTTAAATTCATTGACAGTATGATTTGAATCTCAGACCTCTTGTATAGCAGTCTAGCAATTTAACTATTACACTAAAATCACTAGACTTATTATCTACTAATTATTATATCTAGTATTTACTTATAGATATTCTATTTAAATTCTTTGGTATTACTATAAAATTCTATATTTAATCTAATATTTATAATCTATATTAATCTTATACTATCTTATTTTGAGGACCACTCAGACTAACTTGTATCTCAAATTGTCTTCATAAGATAGAGCTTTATCTTAAGATACTTTATAAGTCCTATTCTAATAAGAGCTTGCAAATAACTCTAACTATGCTATACTATATCCTAATTAAGCTAGCATATATCTTTATTAGTATTTATACAAACTCAGTTTCTACTATAGCTTTTTACTAGATTAGTCCTCTATGTTTTTCTGAATATTTAATAAGATAGATCCTCTCAAATCTAGTTAGCTACTAAGCTAAATTAGTATTGCTATATGATTTTGTATAATAAACTTACTCACACCTATTCAATCTGTATCTTTTGTATTAAGATTTCTTTTTTAGATCAAGTATTAACTAATGTGACTATTAAAATCTGTACTATACTATCTAATTTAGGATTTCTACTATACAAGTTTTCTGCTTTAGATTCTATCAAGATTTATTCATATAATATTATATCATATTTAACTTTTCTATTATACTTCCAATATCTAATTGACATTAATGTAATATGATTTACAAAGTTACAACTCTCAGAAACAGATAAGGTTTACTATAAATTAGATACAAAGGTCTGAGTAATTATTCAAATTTGTTAACAGTAGAATTTGAACTCCAGATCTTTTATATAGTGGTCTAACAACTTAACTACTATACTAAAATTGTTGAACTAATTATAGTAACTAGAAGCTAGTATAAAATTATTAAAAAAATAATTATAAAAAAAAAAAAAGAGGTTTTAGATATAATATTTAAAGAATTTAAACAAGAGCTAGTAGTAGTAGAAGAGGTAAAGAAAAGAGAAATAAACTATATACTTAAAGAGAAGATTATAATAATAGAAGAACAAAGAAGTAAAGAAAAACTGCAGAGTAGAAATAATAATAAATTATAAAAGTTAGAGATGAAGCTTAAAAAGAACTTCTTTATAATACAAAAAACAAAAAAATTAATATTAGAAGATAATTATTAATTTTTAGTATAAAAACTAGAGGATTTGAATAAAAAGCAAGAAGTTAAAAACAAAACTACTATTAACATTTTATTTAATAATAAATAAAAAGAAAAATAATTTAACTTTAGCTCAGAACAAATCTTAATAACTTAGCTAAAGAAATACTACAAGATATATAGATAAGAAAATTAGTTATTTATAAAGAACTCAAAGACTTAGTTCTTTATACAGAAAATATAATTCTAAAAGATATAGAAAATACTCTTCTAGAAATATCAAAATTAAAGATAAATAATACAAAAGAATATTAGAGAAAACAAATAAATTATGCAATATTAAACTACAAAAAACTA